CTTCTTCTTCTTCTTCTTCTTCTTCTTCTTCTTCTTCTTCTTCTTCTTCTTCTGCTTCTTCTTCTTCTTCTCTCTTCTTCTTCTCTTCTTCTTCTTCTTCTCTCTTCTTCTTCTTCTTCTTCTTCTTCTTCTTCTTCTTCTTCTTCTTCTTCTTCTTCTTCTTCTTCTTCCCCCCGTGCCTTCGCTCCGCCCTTCTTTCCCTGGTTCCCCCCCGCCGCCGCCTGGGTTTTGGCCTTTCGGGTCTGCTGGTCACGCCCCCCGCCTTGCTTTCCCGTGCCCGCCTTCGGCCGGCCCACTTTTCCTGCCAGTGCTGGCTGGTTCGACACCCTTTCGCCGCCGGCCTGGCTTGCCCCAGCGGCCTCTTCCGGGCGCCACCTTTTCCGCCCCACTTTGCCGGCCGTGCCGAGTTTACGGTCACCCATGCACCCACCTCATCACTGTTACTCACATTAGCCTTGATTTTATTTATAACTGCGATGAGACTGGGCTTTATTGGAAGGCCGAACCTACTAAAACATTAGTTTGCAAAAATGAAAAATGTGCTGATGGCCGTAAAAAGGCTAAATATCGATTAAGTATATTATTATGTTGCAATGCGTCAGGCACGCATAAGCTGCCTTTATTTGTGATTGATAAGTCTGTCCAACCAAGGTGCTTAAGACATGTAAAGTATATACCAGTGCATTACACTAATCAAGAAAATGCCTGGATGACGACTAATCTTATGATAAACTGGTACCAATCTGTGTTTTTACCTGAAATTAAAAGAAAACATGATTTTGATAACAATAAAACTATCAAGATCATATTATTAATGGACAATGCTGGTTGTCATCCACCTGCAGATATATCAAATGACATGTGTGATAATTGTGCGATCCTCTATCTATCTGCTAATGTGACATCGCTAATTCAACCACTCGATTAAAACATCATTGAAAAGTTTAAAAGATTATACAAGAATTACTTTTCTGAAAAATTACTCATTGAAGATGGGATCCAAAGTGACAAAGATGTTTTGAATTCATTCAATATTCTGGATCGTTTTCATTTTTGCAAATTAGCTTGGGATAAAGTAACTTCTAGTGATATAAGAAATTTTTGAAAAAAATTGATTCCTCTTGAAGAAAATAATGTTAATTTAGAAATTAATCGAATAGATGCTACAGATTTTCACAATTTGCTGAGTAAAATTACCAAATACAAAGAACTGTCCATTGAAGATGTTGAAAACTGGCTGAATATAGATGCTAAAGAAATTGATTGGCAAGCTCGTTCTGACGATGATATTTTGAATGAGCGGTCCTGATGGCACCACAGACAATTTTCGAGAATTAGATGATGTGATATCATACGATAATCAGAATTATTCACCTGAAGACTCAATTGTAGACAATAGTCGTCCAACTTTTATTGAAGCCTATCAAGGTATTTATACCTTTCTACGATGGTATGAACAGAAAGGAGATAGTTTAAAATTATGTTTCCAAAAAGCTCATGAAGAAATAAGTGCATTTTTTATTTCAAAAGTTTGAAGCCAAAGTTTATATTAATTACTCATTTTTTTAAAGAAAAAAGTATTGTTTTGATTACTTATTTATTAGTAATAATTAGGGAGTATATTTTTCTCTTGCTCTATTATCATAAAAAATATTATAGATAATTTATTTATTGAAATTGTTCCAAAGAATATATATAATTATGTAATACATTGATATCAATAGTGTTATGTGACGTAGTGTAGTGGAAAGTAATCTTTCTTTATGTATTGATGTAAATTATATTATTATCATCTAATTTTTTGAAAAAGTCTTACAAACAAAGTATATAAAAATCTTTTTATCTAGTGTTCTATTCTTAAAAAAAACTTATAATTCAATTTGTTACAAAATGCTTACAAAAAGAATACATAATTGTCTGATAGACAAATATTTATAATTATAAAATGTACTCAGATAAAACTTGTTGATTTTATATGCGATTTATATTAAAATTGATATTTTCAATTATTCTCCATGCGAGACTGAATAACTTGTAAGTGCTGTATCGCTATTATCTAGTAAAGCCAATGTTCATTTAAAATATAATCAAGAATTGTTCTCAAGTGTTTGTATTCATATTAAAAAATAAAATTTTATTCAATACATTTGTTGAAGAAAGTAATTATTTAACTATTGTGTTAATTTTCCAATTCTTCTTTATTTTTTTATGATTTATATTTTTTTAATTACTCTTTTTCTATCATTTTCGAATTAATATAAAAATTTGCTAATTTGCTATGTGAAAGAGAAGTAGTCCGAGCTATTATATTATTGAATAGATTTCGAATACGCGCCACCACGATACCATTCTATTGGTTCGTTAAAATTTAAGGTGGGGAGAAATATTAGTAACATTAGAGACATTATCCTGTTAACAATAGGGAGAGAGCAACATTAGAGAGATTGTACTGTAAAGATAACAATCCATAGTATGCTGTTGCATTTGCCCCCAATACGACTCTATTCTTTGGTTGTTTACACTTTTTCCCTGTATGAAACTCTTATTGCCAGCAAGTTTATCATGATGATTCTGTCTTAAACATACTACCAGACGTCCGATCAATCCATTTTTTGTCCCCTTATCACATCTTATTATTGTAGGAAGAATTTCCAATTGTTTGACAGTATTTAAATAAAAATGAGCCATAATTTGGAGGTCATTATTTGTCGTAGCTACTTCTAGCCAAAGAACTTTCCTTGAGAAACCATCGATACATCCGTAAATTGTGAAGCCAAACTGTTTTAATTTATCATACCCGTCTAAGTGCCAAATAAGGACTTCAGTATTGCCGACGTTTCAGTTTATTACCATCGATTTTTATACCGTCTGGATTCGCAATTTTTAATATCTGATATACTGTATCTTGTTTAACTTTCAAATTGTATTTTTTCTTTAATTTAAGCCATAGACTTCTATAGTCTAAATTATAACCGCAGAAATATAGTTCCTTGACGATAGTAGCAACTATGTCCTTTAAATCCGATTCGATTATTTTTTTTCTTCTTAAACCTAATGCAGATAATCTTCTTTTCATGGTATTTAGCGATATTTTGATTTTATGTATCAAAATATCACGTATTTCTCCGTAAGTGTAATCTTCGTGAAAATATTCTTTGATTAATTTTTCTAATTTCATAATTGATATAACAAAAAAAAACCTGTGACCAAACATTAATGTATTCCGAATTAAACTAAGTTAAAAATGTTTAAAATGAGAAAAAAATCTAATTAATGAATTTCACTTGTAACATGTGGCTTGAGTTTACACTTCCCACATCTTGTGTGTGAGTTTCAAAGTTACACTTCTACACTTATTACATGTGATCATGTAGTTTTCTTCATTTCCTACATTTTCGACACAGAGATATTAGAAGTGGCCGCAATATGGCACCGCTTTCCTATAGAAGGTATATAGGCTCTACGGGCTTCCGTAACTATGCGTTCGGAAAACCGGAATCCGGCATCTTTGGACTTCTCTGTACCTTAGTATTCTTCGCTTTGACTAAAATAAGAGCATGTTCTGATTGACTGTAGGTATTACAAGCATGGTTATCGAAATCTCTGATGGTAAAATGATAAAAGACTGCTATAATATCTGTAACTACTAAAAAGCGGTTTTTTCAGATAGGAGAGATTCTTTTTTTGAATAAGAATGAAAATTCACTTTTTCTTTTTTAATAACAAAAGATAAAAAATTGGTGTGAGGCCATTCGGGGCGCCCACACGAGGAACTTCCCATTAGACGATTTCGATTACAAATTGGCTTTCCTGAAATTTATGAACATTATCGTACAATAGGTATCAGCAACAATGTTCATTTGTAAGTCAAACTTGTTTAAGCTTTACGCTACCTAGTGACAATCGACACCAAAAATTCAAAAACATTTTGGAAATTACCAGAAAATGTTTAAAAAATAATGTACTATAAAATAGTCGTTATCGATTTCGTCATAAAAATAACTGTTTTGAAGACATTATGATATTTCATTTTTTTTATATGAATTCCACACGTTAAAATGTCGAAATATGTTGAAATCCAGAAATTGTAAAATCAAACGATCATAATAATTTTCTCGTAGCAAATTAAAATAATCATAGTAAACTGTGCGGAATTATTAATAAAAAAGTTTTTTCAATTTTTAGTGTTACACCAACCGTTCGGTTATTCCACCTTTAACCTTGAATAACTTTGAAATGGTAGGTCCCCCGAAAAAAAACATAGGACATAAAATATTCGCAAGGAAATTTTCTACAAAAGAGTACTTTAGTTTTTTGTTGTAGGACCAACCGTTCTCGAGATATAAGTTTGAAACCTTCGCCAGTTTTGTATTGTAATTCTTTTTTTGCCCATAAAAAAAAAACTAATCGACCAATTTTATTTAAAATCTTTTCACCTGTTCTTTGTCACATTCTTTATCGAATGCCATTGATCTGAAGTGGATATCTTAATTAGTTTTTGAGAAACCGTGAACGAAAGAAATAACTTGCAACCCGAACGCACATACGTACATACGTACGTACGTACATACATACATCTTCTTAAAAACTATCGATATGAACTCCTCACATGTTAAAACATCGAGATCTGTCAAAATTCCAGCGTCGCCGAATCGGACCATTACAATAACTTCCTAATGGGAAGTTAAAAAATTGATATAAATGTATGATGTGACTCTCACAGGAATGATTTTCTCAATAAAAAAAAGCATTTATTATGACAAAGTGAGGAAAAATAATTGTGAATGAATAATTTTCATTTATTTGAGAGATTAAAAGAAATTTAAAGGGATGTATAAGAATATAAGGAAAAATCATGTACGAAGATAATTAGATAATAATATCTGTTATATTATTTTCACTACAGCTATTATTTATTGAATTTCTCTTCTAATGCACTTTTTTTGTTTGACAGCACATTTACTTGGTTTTGTAATTCATTTAATACTCTTATTAGTTCTAAGTTATTTTGTGTAACATCATTTGCTGTGTCCTTGGTTTGATCCTGATTGCATAATTATTCTTTTTCTTAAAATTCAACACATTTTAAAGAATCGAATGTCAATAGTTCTTGTTTGACTCCATGTAATTCTGCAAATATATTTTATAAGATATTGAAAAAGATCGCATTTCAATGGAAAAGATTGAAAATTTTCTTTACCTCGGATGAGCTCAAACTTTTGCTTCTCCAGTGCCACTATTGCATTATTATATAATTGAACTTCTTCTGTTTTTTGTGCCAACTGGTCTTCTGATTCCGTAATACGTTTTTTTGAATCATCTAATATAAATTTTTGATTAACAACCATAATTATGGTAGTTTTGCATTGGCAAAACTGACAGTTGACTAACATTTTTTTAATTTTTTCTGAAGACCATACCTCCATACCACTTTTGATTTAATTGTTGGCCATCTTTCAGCATATCCCTTCTAAATAAAATAAAAAAAATCTTACGATAAAATTTTAAATTATGAAATCGACGAATTTTTCAACATAATATCCCGATAATTCAACAGCTCGTTCGAAATTTTACATTTTTTATCGTTATCTGAACCAGATAAGTACACATTCGTTGTTTCATTGTCATGAAATAATAATAATATTAGTGTGTTTATTTTGAAATAACAAACATCTTATTATGATATGTTTTGCAGTCATTTACGTCATTATACTGGGTATTACGTTTACGTTTTTCTATAAAGTATTAGCACAATTCTTACCTACGGCTCTGTATTTCTTATCATCACTAATTGAACATTATACATAATGTATTAGAGCAGTCTTAGTCATAATAGTATTTTACATATTAATCTTATTGCAGTATGGTTGTTCAAGTTTACTTTTTCATTTTAGTATAAAATGCAGAAAATTCATATTTTCAGAGTTACAAAAGTTAAAAATTACATTAAATACAATATGTTTGTTTACAGATAAATATTTCGATTAAATTCATTTATATTCAAGAAAAAATTTTTAAGCCCGTAATAAATGCTATATTGCATTGTAATCAAAAAATGAACATTTTTAATATGTTCCCCTACTCGTTACTAGTTAATTAAAAAAAAAGAGATTCCCAAAATTAAACTTCAATTAAAAATAATTATTAAAAAAAAATTTTTGTTTTCTGAATTAATCTCCGGAAAAAAACCGGACGTTGTTTTTGGATTCTTTTACCCTTGTTTTGGGGGTAAAGTTATTTTTGAATCAAAAAAGTATGTAAAAAATAGTTCTAATCACAATTACGTTTATTGGAAAATTAATTTTTTAATAATGAACGATGCTCTTTCAAATGATGCATCTGGAAAAATTGTAGTATTCTTTTTTAATTGTTTATTAAACAATTTTTTCTCGTGCGATTTGAAATTTTCTTCATTTTTTTTTTCTCACTTCAAAGACACTATTATTCCTGTCAATAAAAAATACTTTATTGTTTGCTTGAATAAACATCATATATCTAGTACCATCGGCTTTTCATGATACTTGGTATATTCTGATATTAAACTGAATAAAGTTATTCTAATCCATAGAGACAGGTTGGGAATCAGGATAACCATTTCTATTCCATTTGCAGATTTTTGAACTCTTTAGCTAAATCTCGTACTGGTTCTACTCCAGGAACTCCAGCCATGGAAACTCGATCTTTAACACTATTTTCTTTACCTCTTTGAGTTTATTCACGATTTTCACATTGATTGTGTTGTTTTCCATCCTCTTTGAAATTATTGTATTCTAAACACTCAACTTTTTAATGTAGTCTTTCTTAAAAATTCTAAGAGGTCTAGCAGTTGAAAACTTACTTACAACAGCATCCAAATTGAATATGTTACTTCCAACCAAGTAAATTAAAAGAAACGTAGTTCTATTAGAACCGTGGGTGCAATGAACTCCAATGATCTCAGATGGATTACGAGCAATAAGATTTCTGGAAATTTCGATGACAACTTTTGTTTGTTCCATGTCGGGAGTCTCTCTATGACCACAACATTGGAGCTTGTAATAACGACCTTCATGAGATTCAACATCAGCTTTATCATAAAATCTGTGGCATTTGTCAAATCTATTAGTAATCCCATTTTCAATTTTTGACACATTAATGATGCAAACAGCATGTTTACAGAAAAACGATATTCTTCAAAAACTTGATCATTGAACTCATCAGAAAGTGGTGTTTTAGACGCGAGAAATTTATCGTTTATTAATTGAATACTTTTGCGAGGGCATAAAAACCATCTAGAAGAGATCATCCTTTTACTACCTCCGGAACTTCGGTTTGAGATTGTTTCATTTCTTCACCTCAACTGTATGAATTAATTATTTTCAATCACAAACACTCACTTTTACTCTTAAATGTTCGTTTTCATGTTTTACTTATGCAGTTGATGTATAAAAACACAATTGCACTTGCATTTTCACAAAAATATCACAGCGAAAATTACACGATGTGCAGAGGTCGAGAATCAAATCTTATGTGATTGAAAAACCCTTCTGTTTAGTTAGATAACTTGTTATTGAACGCCTTTTGGTGATAAAATGCAATGAAATGTCATCATGCGCCATACGTTAGCATATTGAATACTTCTAGCGGCGTCTGTACAAATGAATTGTCAATACTCATTATTAATAACAAATTTTGTTATAAATAGTCGTTCTGCTAAAATCTAAGTAATGGAATAAAGCACCAAAACTTCGAAACAAGTCTTGACCTATTTTATAGTACGTCTATTCTCTAACGGTTTTCTCTTTCGTAAATAAAATTTTAATAATATATTTTTTAAAATATAAATTTAAATATATAAATTAGGCAAAAAAATTTTCACCTGTTTAACAAAAACATGTCTAATAGATTATATAATTTTTAGTCAAATCTGCTCAATGAATTTTAAATAGCTGCAGTATAAATAACTGTACTAAGGTATCCTAGTAGCTGTAGCATAATAAATAGTTTCTTAATTAGAAACTTGTATGAAAGATTTAATGAAAAATTAACTTTATTTATTAAAAAAAATTTAATTTTTATTTAAATAAAAATATTTAAATAAAATAAATAAACAAAAAGACCCTAGACATTTTATAAATCAATAACATCATTTATTTAATTGGGGAAATTAAAAAAATTAAAAAATTTTTTTATTATAAACAATAATATTTGAAAAAAATAATTTTAATAAAATAAATAAAAAAGTTACTTTAGGGATAACAGTATAATTTTTTTTTTTAGATCAAATAAATAAAAAAGTTTATAACCTCGATGTTGAATTAAGATAAAAATAAAATGAAAAAATTTTAATTTTAAGTCTGTTCGACTTTTAAAATCTTACATGATTTGAGTTAAGATCGACGTAAGTCAGATCAGTTTCTATTTTTTATAAAAAATTTATATAATTGTACGAAAGGAATTTATATAAAAAATAATTTTTAAAATTATTTTGACAGAAGAATGTTATAAATTTAGAATTTATACTATGTAATAATTTTATTACAAATAATAATATTGTACTTTTTTTTATAATATAATAATATAAACCTCGTCCTACATGTAAATAAATACAAATAAAAAATATTGATGCACCATTTATATGAATTAAACGAATTAATCAACCATTAAATGAATAATTCTATAAAATGAAAAATTAATATTAGCAACATAATGAAATGATAAAAATAAACCAGTTAAAATTTGAATAATAATACATAATCCTAATAATGAACCAAAATTTCAAAAAATATTTAAATTAACTGGACTTGGTAAAATAATTAATATACTATTAATTAAATTTAAAATAGAATCTTTTTTTATAATAGTTTTATTCATTAATTAATTAAATTTACGTAAAGGAATTAAATTTCTTATGCATAAAAATACAACAAATGTTATTGTAAAAAACAAATATAATATTGCAGTGTGCAGGAATGAGGAGCCTGAAAGTTAACAATATATTATGTAATAACATGATTATTTATTAAAGATAACCCCAAACATCTTTACACGGAGAAAAAATTCCGTTAATTTTTTATTTTAAAATCCGTACAAAAATTACCGTGCTGCTCAATAATGTGAGTTCAAATTTACTGAAAAGTAAAAAGTAATGATCAACAGACAATAATTTTAAGTTACATAAGAAAATGTATCTTTCAGTTTTTTGAAAATTACTTTGGCAGCACCTGAAAATTGAGTAACGTTAGTTGTGATAACTACGTTACCGACAAACAATTTCATTTAAGTTTAGTGATAATTTTTTTGGTTATATAAACAAATAAATAAATAAATTAGGTTCATTGATAATTAACTTTCTTAATTAATTAATTCGTTGGAATGAATACGGCACGTTTTACAATACTGCCCCCCTGTCCCGACAATCGGGATCTTACGTAGTAAACCTGTGTCGTCGATACAACTACCCGGCTCTCCAAAGAGGTCTTCATCCCACTCACGGTGGCCCGAGAAAAATCATATAAATAAAGTTTATAATAAATTGTAATGATATAACGTGTTGCCGCCAATATTAAATCGTAACGAAAAATATGAATGTCATCTTTGTTTACAGTATGGAAAAAGTAACTATAGCACTGAGGGTGTTCACACAATCAAAAACAAAAGCCGTAAGATGTACGCATGCGTACAAACCAATTTTTAACTTATTATAATGTTAGTATGCACGCGTACATCTTAAATTGTACGTTACGGCTTATGTTTTTGATTGTGTGAACGGTCTTACAATACAAAGAAAGATTGTGTTGGACCGATAATTCGAAGATTCCCGACCTAGCATGGAAACTCTCGAGAATAAAAAAATTTATCGGAGAGCACCCGAATTTTTCCTACCACACGGTTCATAATAAATTATATACAGATTCTCATTTTTTTCTAGTCACTTAATAATTTTTGTTTAAAATTTGAATAAAAATTAATATTTATCGAATATTACCGTGCTGCATAAGAATTTTTACTTTTACTCTTCTCAATAAATATTGAATCTATACTAAAAATTCGGGAATCGACATTTGCGCGTGGATTGTTGTGCTGAGCACGGTAATTTTTATTGGAATTTTTTCACCGTGTAGAAAACTCTTTGTACATATAAAACCCCAGAGATAGTGACTACAATTTGGTCAGAGTTACCGGACACAGCGATATTAGCATACTCACTACACACTCCATACGAATCATATACAAATTTCAAGATTCGAGTAAAATAAAAAAATTAAATATAAATTGAAGTAAAGAGAATGATATTTCTATGCGAAGAAATTTGTTAATATAAAAATGTAAATAAATCAGAGGCTTTCCTTTCATTTTCTAGCCTAGTCGATCTTTCGGCATGGTAAAAATGTAAAGAGTCGCCTTACCAGTGTCTAGATGATCTAATATACTTGTCGTTGGTAATTGTGGTGACGGCTGACGTCCGAATAATATTAGTGCTCCAGGATGTCCCAAAAAGCTCCCAGGTCCAAAGAAGAAATGAACGGTGAAACTAGCCAGTTTATCGAAATATTGGAAAAGTAAATTAGCGGGATCCCGATGCGTGTTTGTACTCGTTGGTGTCCCACGACGGAAAAGAGCGAGTGTCGCCAATGCTGAGACCTCGTGGCTAATTGGAAAGACACCTGTCCGAATTTTTTTTAATCAGGCGAGGCATCCGCCTAGGCGCGCCTATAGAATTGAATAATAATA